ACCCAGCCTTCACTTGTCTTTTTATTGGTGAATACTTCCATTCTCCTTGGGTACAGCATTTCATCAGTTGTGATTATTATCACTTTACATTTTGCTCTACTCACTGCGACATTCCATCTACTACGATCGAATAAGAATCCAGATTCTCGCGCAATTTCATTGGGGTCAATAAAACCAAAACATGCAATAACAAGGTCTGCTTCTTGTCCTTGCATCTTTTCCACAGTATTTATTTGTAAATTAAATTTTGGATTTGAAATGTATTCCGAGAGTCTCGACTGAATAGCATGACGCTGTCGGTGGTGCGGAGTCACAACGAACAATGATGGCTCTTCTTCGGATGGTGGGCGTCGAGAGTCAAAATATTCCATTACTATCTGCGCCACAATATCTGCTTCTGTCTGCAGGAATTTATCTGATGACATTCCCGACACAGGAAACCATGTGTCTGCCGGGAGTTCATAACCTACCAAGGAAATCTTAATCATACTTATCGCATTATTGGGATTTAATGCGCGTCTAATATGCAAGTTGTTGATATGCATTAATTTTGGATCATCAAAATTTAGCTTTAAATGAGGAATCCTGGATCTATAATCGTCTCCATAAATCTTTTGAAAAAATTCGGTTAACTCCTTGTTCTATGACGAAATAGAAAAGGTTCATTGTTGTTCGAGAGTAATGTGCATATGCCAAAATAAAGAAAACCATCATACCATCCTCCAATTATCCGGAAGCTGGATTGTAGAAGGACCGAAATCATGCTTTTTTCCGATCCTCAAAAAGAAGTCCTCCTCCCTAAACACCTTTCCATCTTCCTTTCTCATTAAACATTGTTGTATGGATCCAAAGATTAATGGGTGATCATCAGGGAACACCGGATATGAATTCTGTATGATGGGTCCAAGTTGCTATAGTCGACCGAGATTAATTGGCGTCCGACGATAAATATACGCAGAGAAACAAGACAACAAAAGATAAATTACCATATGATCCCCGGCGACAATCAACCTTCCACTGATCGGGTTCAAACTTTCTAGTGCAATACACGCGTCCGACACCAGCAACTATATAATTATTTCTTAAGATTAATGACAAATCAAGCAGAAACTCGCATATCACATTCAATGCTTACTTGAGATCCTTCGTCAATGATTAGGATGTCGCTCCATGTACTATTCTTTTTCCATTCTTTTCGAACTTTGGACCAATCCCATACGGTTCCGCCCACGACTATAGGTTTTCCGGGAATCCCGATTTTGGAGTCAAGCATCTTCTTAGGTAAACTCTCGGCTCTACACTCATCAATATTGTTCATAATGTTCTTATTATGATTTTTGACTAGTCGAACCAACGTAAACTCACTGGTCTTGTATTTTTCCTTTTGAACTTTGGCAATCCTTTCCAATAAATTATCAATTGCTGCTCTCGTGAAAGCTGTTATACCGACAATAAAATTTTTGTTGTTGCCGGTCGGCTTCGGCCGCATCGACGTCAAATACCACGTTAAAAACAACGACAAAAATTGAGTTTTCCCGGATCCCTTTATCACAAATGTGGCGTAAATGGATTATCAAATACACGCATGAGAGTAATGAAAGGATTTCTTCGTAAACCTTACCGGAGGTCCCCACACGATCTGCAGCCTTCGATTCAACAAATTTGTCGATATATTTTGTTGCGGTATTGACATTCCAAAGGAATCACGCAAAGCCATAGTCATTTTTTTAATCTCTTTGGTGCTCAACATTTTTGATGGCAAAGTGGACCCCCATGCATTGGGATCTCTCAGGACATCCTATCGTGCAGTATGATTAACGTTGGGAAAAGAAAAACAAATAAGAAAAAAAAAAAAAAGAAAAGAAAAAGCAATGACTAAACAATAATGATGATAGTAGCAACGCTAAAATGGATTACCAAGAAAACGGATCGCCCATCCTCCCGATCATCGATTTCAACCAACGTTTCCAAGACCTTATCGAGATTGAAATCAACGTATCGTTTGTACAACCTATACGTTGACTTGCCATCGGCATTTACCTTTTTCATGAACTTTCCTTTCACATCTACGAACCTACGACAAGAATTATCATCAACGAATTCTTGCACGCACAGCACTGTAAGCGGGTATTTGAAAAATTCTTTTCGATATTTCATGTCAGGAAAGCGGATTGCTTCCAAGACACCCTGTAAGATTTAACATTTATTCAGCGGCGTTCGTTTAGAAGCACTGAGTGTAACAAAGCCGTACGCTTGCCTCACGATTATCATCCACTAATATATATTCCTTTAGTGATTTCGACAGAGACAAATTCGATTCATTATCACCATCCAAAATTTCGAGACGGACGACCCATTCGAAACTCTCTTTTTTAATAAATTTAACAATTCTCACTCGTACCCCGCTGGCCGATTCATCAAGGATCAGATCTTTCATTCTTCCGGACCTTAATTGAGAACACATTGTGACAGCCTCAAATTGTTTGAAAAAGTATAACTTGCCCAAGTGTTGATGTCGAAAGGTCCTAACTTCAGTGAGAACAAAGGGAGGTGAAGAAAAAAGCAACACCGATCCAATATCACTTTTCGACTCCGCAAGCAAAGCGTAGTAGGAATGAATAACTTGGTTGATAAAAATCAACCTAGATTCATGAAAATAATTAACCTCATACTCTGCAACTTTACGAGAAGCCCAATTCGCATAAATATTTTCAAGACTAATACAGCTTATTTCAGAATCAAACTTTCCGCAAAGTTCTTCGTCATTGATCGTATGCCTGACCATTTTTTCCCAGATGTCACTGAAACGGTAAAACCCGGGCACATCCATCGCGACGTTTTCCCTAATGGCGTTTTCCAAAATTACCAACCTTGGAAACTCTCGCCAATCTTCCTGTAACCTTGTAATTGCACCGTCGATGCCGTTATGAGCGGCCAACAACAACGTGCAATCCTCAAAAAGATTAAAGAGACACATTGTGGCAGCGCGTTGTGTTTCAGTCGATACTTTGATAGGGTCAAGTGAGATTATTTCTAGCAAGGAATCCTGAATCACGACCTTCTCCTGTTCCGAAAAAACAAAGACGCATGCACACGATCTTTTTTTCGAAAGGTAATAAAATATCTTCTCCAAATGAATTATGAATCTATTCATTAAAATGACGAATCCCTCGTCCGCCTCTGCCTCATTCTCGTTTTTTCTTGCGATAGATTCGGTGCAACGAAAGCCTCTTATCTCCTTTCCATCACCAGAGAATAGACACATGCCCCAAGCGAAGGGACGCATTAAAAAAGAATCCACGGAAATTGAAATTATCAAATTGTGATCCGTTCTTTGAGGAAAACTTGCCGTGGGGGTGCCGATGAACTTTAACATTATTAACGGTTAATAATTTCTTTAAAGAAATAAAATAACAATTACTGCATTATCAAACAAGCAATTGGTTTGAAGGCACACCTGAGCCCGCTCATTCTCAAGAGCCGCAATGTAGGGTGACCTTTTCGCGCCCTCGTTGTATTTTGCAATACGCTTAACTATTTTATCTGACCGTTTGTCGTCATCTATTTTGAGAGCCTCGATGTAGCTCGCCAGATCCTCGATGTCGGCCTCCTCCGAGTCTCTGGCACGATCCGCGCTGGAATAGATTTGCCATATGCGTTAATCGCTAGCTCCAATGAATTAACAATTCAATAGCGTGAGTGACCTCAAGGGAAATCTGGAATTCCTGCTTTATCGTTTCACAGGATAATATCCAGTTAAATTCCAGGTTTCCCTGGGTGTCGACGAAAAGACATATCTCAAATTAACCTCACGGGTCGTTCGTTCTTCCAGCCTTGAACGTGGGTTTTCAATTCCGCGGCTTTTTCCAGGGGCAAATAAGGAATCATGGCCATTGATCCCTTCGCTTCATCACGACAACAGTCAACGTATTCACAACTTCGACATCTAGAATTATAGTGCCACGAGACCGACGGGGCAGATACGATACGAGGAAGCTCGGTCCGAAAGAATCGATCCACTTTCGGAAGCATAAAATCAATTCGAAATGTTTGAAATTCAAACGGTGGCAGATATACCCCACCCGTGCGAGACATCGATAGGCCACGAATTTTTTCAATGA